TACGCGCGGCGAAGCCGCGCCCGCCCGGCGCAGCCGGGCCGTATCAGAAGGAGGCGCGCCGGCGTTAGCCGGCGAGCCGACTGGTCACTCATATGACAATGAGTGGCTTAACTACAATCCATATCTCGGCGCTGTACGGGGGAGTTCCCACAGAATTCGATGTAGCGTTGCGACAGCAAAGAATTGCCGGTTCAGGAACAGTTGCCGGCTTAGGTACAAAAACAGGAGTCGCATGATCAAGAGCATCCGGTCTCTCATTCTCCACTGAATGAACAGGCAGCAACAAAAAAATGCTCAGTTGCCGTCGAGCTCACAGCCAAGCCCGTGGACACTCCCCTTCATTATAAGATGTAAACTGTACATAAAATATTTGTAAGAGAAATAGTGAGCTGAGAAACTCACCAAGGCAAGCAGATCCCGCTAAAAGCATGATTGTAACGAGTAGTTTACGGTTTGTCGTCCTCTTAGTTTTGTTCGCCTTGAGTAGAGGATCTTTTGCGACGTTATGCATGTGAACAAGAATGTGTAGGTAGAGAAATGAGATGAGCAGCACGAACAGTATAAACGGAGCTACCAGTACCCATCGCACCACGACATTTCCTGAAAACACATGAGCAATACATAAGCAAAGTAGTGATATGACATTCAGTGAAGTTCTTTAATGACAAAGTCCACGATGACCTGACGTGCAGAATCCCTCGAAAAAGGTGATGCCTCTTGTATTCGCCCTGCAGGTACTAATATTACGGCTCGAAAGTTTTTGATAAGACCGTTAGAGGTCTAACAAGCTTACTAAGCTCCGCCCCTGTCCAGCTCCACCTATGTATAGTGCCCGTGTCCCATTCACAGTTGATGAACAAATCAAGACAGCGAACCGCGCTCTAGCCTGAGAAAACCCCATAAATGGACTTGTGTACGCAGAGCCCTTTGGCGACGATTAGAGTGCCCAATTGGGGTTGGTGTGTTAGTGTGGTCCGCAATACATCTCGGACCAGGGACGCCTACTTCTGTATATTTTGACCGCAGCTGTTTTCTTATTTACTCTTACAACAGCTGTTGCTTTACTTTGCTTTACGTTATTGCATGTTTTTCTATTACTACAATACAACTTCTATATTATTACATGTTCTTACGGAATGTGAAGTGAACAACAATCTTGAAATGGACAACGATCAAACCACTAAAACGCTAATGACCCTCCCCCTCTGCAGATATCGATGCAGAGTTTTTTTTAGAAGATTTCTACTACTATCGAGTTTTTCACAGTTTGAATCGAGTGAACCTCAAGTGGGGCATTATAATCGTCACCGAAGGACTTTGCATACCCGAGCCCACCTACATAGTTACACTCTCCCAAGCAAGCAGCCTCGCAGGCCCACTCCCGCACATCTTGAACTGCTTTCGCTAGTTGAAGGTGCATATTAAGAGCGTTAGAAACCTGAGTCTTACATCTTTCCAAGCCTGGTACATCAGAACACGCTGACCTTAGATGTGCTTTAAGACATCTTGAGCGAATGCTTCATAAGAATCGGTGCTCTTGGTGGGAGAGTAATGCGGCGGCGGGATGGAGAACTCTGTGCGAACTTCATGTCAGATATCTGCAAGGTAGAGGTGTTAAAGTGCAGGGTCGCCCAGGTGACTCCGCCCTCGCTGCTAGCTGTCGTGTCTGTCGTCGTACCGTTTGTATGGTCTCGCTGTACCTTTGTTTGGTCTCTCACGTACATTTCATCGATTCCTTGTCCTTGGATGAGGGAGCCTTATCAAGGGTGCTTTCGTTCGTTCGCGCCGATTATTCCCAACGGCCAAGTGAGCTAGCATATATGAGTCCGGTTTGCACCCCCACCTGAGTTCCAACTTTCTGACAGCCTTTCGACAGCTTTCTGTCTGGGGGCACCGAAGAAGGATTGGCGCACCCATGGTGCACCAAATAAATAAATGAATAAATAAAAGAAGTGAATCTAGTGAAGTACACTCACTGAGTATTCCACCACCTTTGCAGCCGTCCTTGGAGAAGAACGCAAATGCGATCGGTGCACGAAAACCACCCGGTACTGTACAGAACATAACAAGGAACACGGTCGAAGGCACCAAATAGGCCAATGCTATCGCACAACGAACGCTTCGCGGTGTGATCACATGTCTGAAAGTTCAATTTTACCAATCTAAACAAGTCTTTCCACTTACTACGCGGATTTTTGAACACGTAGTGCATCTGATAGAGATTGATTGAAAATGAAAGCCCGTCTTTTAATTTTACGTGCGAAATCCCGGAAATTAGATCACAACGCTTACCGATGCAACGGATGGACTATTCCGATGTAATGATTTAATGCCAATGCTAACAGAGTGAATACGGACGCAAAAAATGTTGCCAACTTGAATACCTAAATTCAAAAAATTGGACCAGAACAACTAGGAAGACGCTGACAGTCTTTTTAATACATCCTTTTCGCTACGAATGAGGGGCGTGTCAGGGAGCCTAGATCTGGCGGCTCGCCAGCCCGTTTTTCATTGGTTGTTGAACCGGGTAAGCGACAACAACCGTTTGGACACGACTTGAAGCAGTGATCTGTTACATTTTTGTTGCTCGCCGAAAAAAGAATTGCTTGGTGCTGCGCCAAACCCATCCCTCGACACGCCCCATCATCCGCTGCGAACAAGACTGTGAGAAAGCTGTGAAACCTAAATTGTTTACCTCAAGAAGTAATGACCAGCAATTGGAGAGTAAGTTTGGCAGAATTACATTAATCATATAAGTTAGAATATAGAAGAATGCACACAAAGCGTCTGAAGCGGTCAGACTTACGCATAGTCGCAAATTCACCCCAATCGGCCTTCTTAGATAACGGGAGCACTGAAAGAACAACAAATTAAAAAAATGGATGACCAGTAAGAAAGAACAAAAAACTGTGTTTGGAATAAACTAACAAAACGCCCTTGGGCACAAAAGGACGGTTAATTCTGCTGGCGAAAATTCTGCTGGTGCCTGTGGTGTGGGACGCTAAAATGACCGTCTTCAAACAGTTCCAACCTTGAGGCCATGATAATCGACCAATACTCCTTGTGAACTGGAATGCACCTCTCCACTGAGGTTCGACCGGTCTCTATTTCGGCAACAAAACGCTTATGGAAAAGGCATTTGTTGTCCCTACGGACCGCAACTCTTCGCACGGGTTATCGGGAGATAGTTCATTCCGCACCTACTGGCATCACCTCTGTAATGCGCCATGCACACGGCTCCTACGCAGAGGAGTGGGATGGTGTAAGGTGTTGGCCCCTGTGGTGTGGGATGCTAAAATGGCCACAAATTCCCCGTCCCAAGTTTTTTTTTGCAACGTGTTTTCTACGGATATTCTATTCGATATCTCTGATTAGACTACACTAGATCGACGCCTACGCTGAGCTGTCTTGAACCCCTGCAGAATTGATTCAACGATTAAAGCTAACCCTACTCTGAGGTTGTTACTTGGCCAATTACTGCCCCATTAAGTGCTAAGTGGCAGGCATAAAATTACGACTTGTCCGATTCCGACTCTTTACCGATAATTGCGCTACACTATGCAGCATCGCAAATCGAGTAATTATTCCGAAACAGTTAAGGACTTTTGGCTCAGAAATTTCATTGAAAATAAAAAGCAGTGACAAAGTAGGTAATAACAGTAACGAAAACAAGCAGTAAGTCGAGCCCTGTGATTACACGACAGAAAATCTACTGAAAATCAGATTTCGCAATTTGTGAAGGTACAGGAGAGAGCGAAGAGTTTTCACCCTTCGACTTTCTGCGAACGCCAAAAGCGAGGGACAAATTTTTTTCAGACATAATATTTGCTCAATATAAGAAAATATTAGCCCAGAAAAAAAAGAAAATAATAGCGCAAAAAGTTCCAGAAGGTTCGAACTGAAGGGTCAATTCCGTCGAGAACCTTAATATTAGGTTGTCCGGAAAGTTCTCAGCGTTTTGGGTGTTTCACTTTAAACGATCGTAACTTTTTTAATACTCATCGGATTTAATCGAAATAGGCACCATTCGAATCAGCACACTTTTGCCAATGTGACAGCAGTCGAGAAATCCCATCAAAGTAAAAAACTGGGTGGTCGAAAATTCACGAAATCCACTAAGGCTTTTTGCCTGGTCCTGATTGATGAAGTATTTTCCAGCAAGGAAGTTCTGAAAATGTTTGAAAAGGTGATAGTCGGTTGGCGAAAGGTCTGAAGAATATGGCGGTTGAGGTAGAACTTCAACCCCCAATTCGTTCAATTTATGGATAGTGATTTGTGAAACGTGTGGGCGGGCGTTGTCATGCAAAGGAATCGGACCCTTTCTTTTGATAAGTGTTGGCTGCATCTGACAAAATTTTCGGTACAATTCGTCGATTTCTTCACAGTAGGGTTCTGCTGTGATGGTTTGGCCTGGTGATAAAAAGTTATAGTGGATCACACCAGCCGATGACCACCAAGCCGTGACCAGAATCTTTTTTTTCGTGAGGGTTCGGCTTTGAAAATTACCTCGGTGGTTCGTCGAAATCCAACCACTGTCCGGAACGTCTCCTGTTATCATACATGACCCATTTTTCATCACAGGTGACAATTCGGCCCAAAAACAGGTCGTTTCTGCTGCGCAAAAGCAATGCAGAAGGAACCTCGAGACGTGCCGATTCCTGCCGGTCACTCCGATTGTGGGGCACCCAATTGTCGAGTTTTTTCACCTTCCCAATGCGTTCCAGACCATCTGCAACAGTGGATTTGCCAAGGCCTAGCTCTTCTGCTATCTCTCGAACTGTTTGGGATGGGTCAGCCTCCAAAATCCCCTAAAATCCTCGTCAGATATTGCTTTAGGTCGACCGCTATGAGGTTCATCTTCAAGGCTGAAATCTCCAGAACGAAATTTGTTGAGCCATTGCCGCACAGTGCTTTCTCTAGCACTATTGGGCCCCCACACCTGGTTAATTTGTTGAGCTGTTTCGATTGCGGATTGCCCCAATTTATAGTCGAAGAAAAAATCGCCGAAGTGCTCTTTTCACATGCTTGAAAAAATCTTGAAAAAAGAGGGTTTATCAAGCAATGGTGAAACGGCAATTATACCATCAGATAGCGCAAGAAATTCTCTACAGGATGTGCTACTGAGAAGCAAGGCAGAATGAGTTTTAATCAGCAGTGAATGTACAAAAAATAGGTGCACAAAACGCTGAGAACTTTCCGGACAACCTAATATGACGAGAGCTTTTCTCTTCATGCTTCTGAGTCCTCTGATTTTTTGATTTTTAGCGCCTTCATGTGGCGCGTTACATTTACAGTCCTCCTTGTTGGTGCCGTATTGATTTCATAAGGTACAGGTCACGGTTCGGTCTGGTTCTGACCTAGTCATCTCTTTAAGACTAGTTCAAGCTCTAAAGTCAGACCTGATGGTACGAAAAAATCACTGCGATCGCAAGAGGGCAAAGCGCTTGGACCATCCAGAGCTCAAAGCCGCACCTCATGCTCACTCTTGCCTTCAATCTTACTAACACACTGGACATCATAACACAGAGCATCTTAAGCGATTTCAGTTCTTCGGCTTTTCTTACAAGTTATCCACTTGTAAAGTCACAAGCCATTCAAACGATTCAGGAAGTGAGCCTCGAAGCTGAAACCATGATTTCTCTTCGAAATATGGTATAATTATTATAACTGCTGTTTATCGGCAGTCGGCAAGGCGAGTGTTTTCACAGAAATGCGGATTAAGGCAGGCCTGAGGTTCAGGTACAAGTCCTGACTGTTGCCTAGTTTTTTGCCCTCACTTCAATTCTTGGGATAATGTTAGCGTGACAAATTTCATACTATAATACACAACATAAAGGCGAGCACGCAGCATGCTTCACTGCCCTGGCCCTGAGCAGTTCGACTTTGAGAATTCCTCTCACATTTCCTCTTTAATACAAAACAGCTTTCACAACAGCATAATTACTGCAACACTACTAAGCTAGAGCGAAGCGTACATCCGCAAAAAGCAATTTTTTTTCTTTTGGTTACCTTGCTGTCGTTTTATTCAACCACTCACTTTCAACTAGTAGCTCTTGAAACATGTATTTTTCAGAAAACGAATGCCCCGGTATTGTTATCCTATCGAAGTGTTGGCGAAGTGCTATGGATCCCTACGACAGGATTTCATTACCATATCTCATTTCCTGTGCATGACTAGGTGAGGGACCAGTGTAATTGGAATCATTCCGTCCAGACTTATTGGGTGAGCTTTTCGCTTTTCAAGAGGAGGGAAAAAGGGTGTGTAGGCTTGTCTCACCTAAACCGGCGGATGTTTCACTCATTCAGAACCCTGTTTTTATTTACACTATAGGGTCGAGTTCTCGCTCAAAAGTTGAACGGACGTTTCTGTCTTTTTCCACAGCTTCTTCCCTTTCTTTCCTCGCTCTTCTCAACTTTTTTACTGAACCTCGACCCCTACGAATTGGAAGTCCCGATTGAAATTGTCCGATCACAGGAAACAGTCTCTCCCAAAACAAGAAGCTACTTCTAAAATTGTCTTAGAGCGTTACACTGATTGCTTGGGCGGAGACAGTCAACCACCACGCCCTCTTTATGATGCACCCTTACCTTTCACCGCCTCGAAGGGGAGAATGCACCAATGAGGAGGGCATAATAACTGGCTATCTCCACAAATGTGTTACGCCCTATAGTACGAAGAGCGGGCCAGTCCCTATGCATTTTTCATCAGGCTGAAAGAAAAGTTCTGAAACACGCTTAACAGACCCTCCCACGAAAATTCAAAGCACTTGCCAGTTTGACGTCTGATGCTGCTCAGTTAGCTGGAATGTCTCTCCATTTGAAGGAGTTACCCCGAATTTACGGGAAGAAATAAAAAAAGTAATCCCTTGCCTAAATCTTCGCTGAGCGTGAAAAAGGTTTCCAAAAATTTCCATTCAATCTGTTAAAAACAGCCGGTCTGAAATGCTCGAAACTGTTCTCCCTAATAAAACCCCGTTAGTAACCGAACTGAGCCTGGCGAACAAATTTTCCTTCTAATTTATTTTTAATTCACTAATCCGCCACTTAATTCTTCAAAAAAAGTCTAGTATTCAGCACTCTTCAGTTGTCCTTGCTCACTCTCAACGAATGAACATCCGATGTTATCTACGATCGCCACCCCCTTCCCATACAAATATGCTACTGTTGTACCATTTGGGCAAGGAAGTGCAATGTTGCAAAAAGTCGTGGAACAGCAGGCGATACTATCGAAACAAACTGTGACTGTGCTCACAACAAGTCATGATTTAAAACATGATTCGAACAAGTATTTTTTTCCTAGAAAATACCGGTAGTGTGGTTCCACGTGAAACTGGGCAGTAAGGGAGTGCCAGAACCATGTGATTTGAGCTGGCCCCACGTTCAAAACGCCAGTTTACTACAATAATTTAAACCAGGAAGGATGAGGCTAGAGAATTAGAGTGACGCTTATTCCTCTTTTTACCTTTAGCCGGGTCTGCCTAGGAATAAATTGGGTGTATTGTGTGCACTCGTCCTTCGCACTTAATTTTACGCGTAGTTTTGGGTGCTGTATCCCGTCTGTTCCTTGTACTCATCTGCGATACTATCTATAAGGCAGATTTTCTGAAGAAAAGACGCAAAAAAACAGGCTTCTTCGCCTAAGGAAGGAGCTCGATCGGCCAGCTAACGTGGGGACCCGCTGACAGCCCGTAAGCTAAGGCCTGGTTCCTCGACGGCTTGGCGCAATTATTCCAGCCGATTTTCTGAAGAAAATACGTAAAAAAACAGGCTCCGTTGCCTAAGGAGGGAGCTCGGATTTCGGCCAGCTAACGTGGCGACCCACTGACAGCCCGTAAGCACGAATTGTTTACTTAAGGTTCCTTGACGGCTTGGCGCAATTTTTCTTGAGGAAGTGCCGTAATTTTAGGCCTAATTCTTTTTCATTAACCAACTTGGAAGAATGTGAAAGGGCTAAGAAAAGATTAGGCCATCTGTGTACGGTGTAAAAGTATTAAAGTTTATTATTCACGACGCCTTAAAAAGACAACCAATAATCCTGGAGGTGAATCCGTCAATAATTCATTTGAAGATAGTTTCTCGAAAAGTGGTCCCATTCTGGGAAGACTGCCATTCTGTCAAGTGCTGGGAAAAAGCATGGCTACAGCTGTTGTAGAGCAAAAAAAATCCTCCAACAGTATGATCGCAGTTATGCCAAAACGGCAAATTTCGACCAGAAGCGCAGCTGTAGCCACGTTCAAATGAAATCCACAGCTATTTCTTCCTCATAGTCGGAATATCGATCTGCGATCACCCGTCGTATGGGCGGAGTCAGTCGGATCATTGAGTACTCGTCATTGGTGCGCTCTTTCTTGCAATGAGAGGACCATCAATGAGAACAACGCATTTCGCAAAGAGCCCACGCCCATGCGGTCAACGCGAAAAGTGCTTTCAAGTGAATTGAACCGAAACTCACATTAAGTAAATAGAGATTCACAGCAAGTGCAACAATAGAAACGATTGTGAGCAGTATGGACGAGTAGAATGATAGCTTGATGAAGAACAGACCTTCTTCTTCTGATATTGTTGAATTCATATCTGCAAAACTAGTTTTGAAATTTCAGTACTGTGACAACAATCGCAAATGGAGAACACGACGGTTGAATGGAATGGCAATGTTGTGAGTTAAATAATAACCCATTATGGCGAGAAAGCTTAGTAAAGCCGAGATTATCCCGTAACACAAACGGAAAACAAAATAGCATTGAGGAGTTTGAGAGACCTACGAAATTTGAACAATAGTCGACTATGCTCCCGATCCGCAAACGTTCTGAACGAATGTACTAGTTCCTTGCTTGATTTGTAGAGGCGGAGACGGTTACAAGGGTGAAAGGTTTGTAAGCTGTCAATTTGACCGAAAAGATTTACTTCAAATTCAAGAGTATAAAAGCGAACAGCTGATCGAATAAGGAAGCAATCAAAGGAATATTTGTGAATAGAGTAAGAGCAAGTCAGGAAGCAGAACAAAGAATAGTCGTAAAGGAACGTTTTTCAACAAGTTCCCCCTTTGTCCCGTTGTCCATGAATTCTATGGTCTATTGAAGGGCGTAAATGGGTTGAGCTACGCTTGTGCTCAGACTTGGATGCTGTAGAGCAGAAACTAATGAGATACGTTGAACTATCACTATAGTCAGTTACTTCCTGTTTTACTATCTTGACATAAAGTTAAGAGGATAGTTATCGCATTTGACACGTTGCCAAAATTTACATCAAAAAAGAAATTCAAAATTCAAAAACAAAGTCAAACCCAAAAAACAACCTTCGCTCACATTAATCTGCGATAATCCCTATTATTATCACTGGCTCTCAGCCACTTTCAGCTCAATTAATGGCCGTCACTCGCAAATACAGTCGTCATCCGGGCACTTGATTAGGGCGGCAAGGGTCGCGACGCGGCTGCGGCGTGAGCGCGGCGATCAGCTGTTTCCAGCCTATTTTAGCCATTTTCTCCCTAATTTACACTGTTATGGCTGCTTTTCTCAAGATTAGTTGTTCCTTGTCTTCACAAGGTAAATTATGATTGAGATTCCTCTGGTTTTTGCGTACAATCAAAGCAGACAATCGAACAAATACCTGAACAAAAACCACAAAAACACTCTGTTGAAACAAAAAAAAACTTCACGCTCAATGTACTTCGTGAAGATAACAAAACAACTAACCTTAAAAATAGAGAATACAGTGAAAATTAGGGAGAAAATGGCCTAAATAGGCTGGAAACAGCTGATCGCCGCGGTCGTGACGCGCCGCAGCCGCGTCGCGACCCTTGCCGCCCTAATCAATTCCCCGGATGACGACTGTAACTCGCATGGCTGTGAGCCGAAAATGTCGGTTACCATGAATGCACTTTCTGACATCTTGAGATTTTCAAGTCCAGGTAGTACTGGACGGGCCGGAACAAATGATATCAAGGTGACACAAAGACAAAGGCAGGTGTCACATATGAAATAAAGTCTCAGCCTCTCGACCTAGGGGGTCCCGCTCTGTAGAACGATGCGAGTAAACGTCATCATGGAGAGTTATCACTAACTCATTACTGTGTTCAAGAAGTACGTACTGTCTTCTAAATCGCCTGGCCAGCGACACAGACGTACAAGCCGAACAGCTAGAGCTTTTTCGCGACCGCCACCAGCTCATGGCGCATCATAGTTGGGAATTCTCCAACAGGGAGGTCGTATTTAGTCGCTGGCAGAGGGGGGGGGGTGCATGATAGTTGATTTTTCTTGTTTCAGGGAGTTTTAAAGGTCGGGGGTGTTCTCGCTGTTAGGAGGGGGGGGTCGTATTTCCCTTTTGGACTTCTGAGAGAGGTTACTGCTTTTTGTGGCGTGGTTTTCCCGTTTACATGTCCTATTCAGGGGTCGTAGCATAAGATTTTTGTCTCGAGGCTCTTTAAGTAAAATCGTTAGGGCAGTATCGCTTCAACCACATGAAGACCTGACAACAACCGGGTTCTTCAGCTACGGTTTTGCCTAGAAGTTGTAGTGAACACAGGTGCGCGTGTGGAATTTTCTACGGATCACTTTCTACAGTTTACATCGGCACAATCAGTCGGGGTGGTTTCGAGTGCAGGAATGAGCTCACCCGCGGTGTCTTCATAACTTTTCCTTTCTTCCTGGATCGATCTTTATTGCTAGAAGAAGTAGCCAAAAGCAGCCTATACTTTCTCTCCTACAGGCACGTTGTAAGATTCTCAATGAGGGGGTCGTATTCGGTTGCTACAGGAGAAAAAAGGGTCGTATTTGCTTCTGGGAAGGATGTCTTGGTTTTTTGATTTTTCTGAGACTCCTTCTGTTCTAGAGAAAGTGGGAAGTTTGGATGGTGGTGAAGGGGGTATATTCTGCAAAAACATTCCTACAACGGCAAGACGTGCCCTGCTCTCCTGACCGCTGCGACTGACTGCGACTATATCTTGCACAAAATGGACGTTTACAATGAGAAACGTTCGAGTCAAAATGGAAATGTGATTAAAATGCTTTAGAATTTCTTTCACAAACGATCACATTGTTACTGACAGGAAATAAACTGCAACTGACAACAGGAAGAAAAAAGTGCGCATCAGCATTCCCAACATTACAGATTAATTGATTTTACATGACAATTTCAGTGGCTTGTTAATAAAAGTTACCAGTTGTTAATCCTTACTTAACGGATTGGGGGAACGCATACAACCTTTGTGAAAATCGCAATGGAAAGTATATGTCTGACAGCATATATCGCATTTGATATCGAGTGGAATTCTGTTCATAATTGTTGGAAATGATGATTTTTCCTGTTTCATTCGCGCTACATTTTTCTCTAAGAGAATTCAAAGGAAAATTGTAGTTTCCGTTTCTCACGTGCCTTATACTGAAACGAAAAGAACCTGAATGTACGAGGAAAAAAAGCAAGAGTTTTGGAGTAACAGATTTGGAAGATGGTTCCAATATGCAGATGAAGGATTCATAATCGGCTACCTGATGAGCCACTTGAGTGAAGTCCATTGGAACTTGTTGGTTCCTCCCTGTTTTCCCTCTGCTTACTGCTTATCCATTCGTACTGACCCTGGCCAAAGACACTACGAGACACTTCAGGGGTTAGAATTGGTGAGGGTCACGAAGCTCTATCTGAGAAGTTAGAAAGAAAGAGAAAAGAGTTTAGGAAGTGCTTTCATAGGAGAAAAGAAGCCAGTCGTAGGATCGAGTTTGTAGTGGACTCCGCTAGTTGGCCCCGGGCACGGTTCCAATGAAAGGGCTCATTTATATTACCTCACTGTTGTTCGAGGAAAACGTGACGTACAGCAGATTAAATCGCTAATCCAATAAATCAATGCTTTTTGCCAATCTTCATTAATGAGCACAAGAAAAAGTTTCAATGGTCAATGTTCAGCACGAGGAAACCGAAAAAATAGCCAAATAGCGTCACATTAAAATCTCTGCGCTAAAAAAGGTGAAGATCAGCGCGGCGCATTCCAAAGCACTCGAAAGAGTCGATTAAACTTAAATGCTTCGCAATTTGCATTTAACGGAGGCGGAGGTGTGCAGTGACAAGTGGCGCGCTTACCGCTCGCGCGATCTCGGGTTCGAACCCCGGGTCGACTCCAGGCCAACCAAGCCGTCTATCGCCAGTGGACGGTGAGTTGGCACCAGATTCGAGGATCTGAGAGGAGAAGAGCACTGACTTGTGACTGGTGCATCGGCTGGCCCTCGCAAGTCATTGTATAGGTTGGAAAGAAAGTCTTGTCACTGTTGTGACTTTTTCTAACTCAACATACAGTGGGAATTAGTCAACAATATACTCGTCATAGTTAGCCACTACAGTGCTCCACCCAATGGACAGGTAAGCATTCCCCTCCTCCCAGAACTGAGAAGGCTGCGAGTAGAGTAAGTCAGCGCCCTCTCGACTGATGTCATCAAAGTTGCTTGAAGTTTTCTTAGCTAAGAAAGCCTAAGGAGGCGGAGCAGGTAGCAGTCGTAGGGGACTACGTCAGGAGAATATATGAGCGGGGACTGGTCTCCCAGCCTTGCTCCTCAATCATTTGGTAGGTCTTCATAGCAGGTATGGGGTCTCGTGTACTACGAACGAGGTGACCTGGAGCTAGTTTCGGTCATGTTTTACCTTTGAGAAGCTGAGCGACATAAATGGTAGCGATGACCGTCTGTTCTTGGAGAGTAGCTCGTTCTGCAGTATCGTACCCGCCTCCCAGGAACAGCACAGGAGAACCAATACAGCCAAGGTTTGGACTGCTAGAATGGATCTTCTCCTTGAGAGAGACAAACGGTACTGTGTGGGTTGAAATCATAGAGGACCCATCTCTCATCCCCACTAAGCAGTCTCCTGGAAACTCCTTCTGACGAGGGCAGAGAAGGGGAGTCTGACCAAGGGGTACCCGGGTGCACAGCGTGCCATCGGTCAAGGTATGAGTGATCCATCGAGCCAGTACTTCTTGGTAGTCAAAGGCTTACAGGCGGTGGACGACTGTCAGTTAGGTACATCCGAGTCTTGTCGCAAGACTGCGGGTGGTAGCCTCCGGACCCTCCTTGACAGCTTCGAGAACGGTGAAACCTTTCACTTCGTTGAGGCGTCCCGACCGAGGTTTGTCTTCAAGGATCGAGTCTCTTTTCGCGAAGCGAGCGAACTAAAAGTGAACAGTCCTGACGGTAGTAGTGTCCTCCCCTAATACACTGTTGATGTTACGGACAGCTGCCGTGGCTCCAGTGCCGCGGGGCCACTGATAGAAGATGATGACCCGAAGATACTCCTGTGAAACTGACATCGTAATTAAACCCAGGAAAGCGCAGGCGCCCTCACACACCTCTTGCAGGGAAGCTCTTAGAATGTTCTACAAGCATAGCATGTTACGTCATGTACGAGCATCGAGAATCAAAAACTGGAGCTTTTCGAAAACACTGAAAGGACCTTCTTTCCAACCTATATGAGCCACACCGTCTTCAGTAAGCCACTACGATTCTGAATGGAAGTAGTATTTGTGCCGCATCTCAAAAATTGATCGATTACCAGCGAAGAATTCATCTTTCGCCCTTTTATGTGTGGTTATGTTTAAC